TTTTCAGGACCCCACCTTGATGTTTCGGGACCCCACTTTGGGTCCCGACCCCAACTTTGGGAAACACTGGCTTAGTGTACATGTACAATTAGAGTTTTTTTTAAATGTTGCATTAAATGTATACTAAGACTGACAGGAGGACTTTGCACAAGAATTCCTGTGTACATGAACCTTGCGTGAAACGCTCTGAATCTGAAAAACTTTTTGCAGCTGGGGTTTGGGAGGAGTGAACTGTCAGAAACAAAAAAGGATGCAAACAGCTAAAACATAATGATTTGTTCATCATTTTTTAATTTTATTTAAAAAATGTATTCATTTCATTTAAAAACAAAACAAATGCTACGCATAAAACAAATAATAATACAACACAAATAAAATGAAAGGTAGCAGAAAGAAGAAAAAATTCTTATTGAAATCTGCCCCTTTTTTAATAAATAAATTGAAACAATAATAGTCTTCAAATAACAACATATAACAGAAACTTTAACTCCTTCTCGAACAACGGTTCTTATGAATGCACATTATACAAATTCATATTTCTTCAACAATCTAACTTTTATCATTCTTGTAAATAAATTTACTGAGTCAGCATTTTTATAATCACTTCCCAGATTGTTCCACAATCTTATGCCTCAGACTGAAGTACATCTGTCCTTCAGATTTGTTCGAATTTTGGGCTTTACAAACATCTCTATAACCTTAAGGTTATAATTACTTATGCTCTTAACAAAATTTAATTGAATATTTAGAGATAATAATTTTTTATGAGCTTTATACATAACCTGCAAATATTATGATCGACCAACTCATAAAATTTCAAAAATTTCAACTGACAAAATAATATATTTGATGGGTGACTGTAATGTTTTCTGGTGATAATTCTTACGGCTCTTTTCTTTAAAATTAAGATGGGATTTGCAATTGTTTTACAATCCGTCCCCTTATTTGGTGTACTTTTCGATGCAATAACTGGTGTARTTAAATTCTAAAGATACATTTTATTTACTCTCTTTGCCATAGTGGGCCTGGGTGGGTTACCTCTACCATCACCCACCGTCTCCAAGCTCGTGCGGGGCCACCGTCCCCTGGGAAGGACCCAGTCGGCCCCCCTGCCCCAGCAGCCGTGCGGACAGGCCCAGGCCCTGCAGCAGCTGGTGGTTCAGCAGCAGCACCAGCAGTTCCTGGAGAAGCACAAACAACTGTTCCAGCAGCAGCAGCAGCAGCAGCACATCATCAGCAAGGTACCCCCCTGCGGCAGAACATCCTGGTGTGTGCCTTCGTACCAATAAGTGTGTTCGAGCTCAGGATGAATCATCCTTCGGCCGGCGAGTCTTTTAGCCGTTTTTTTTTTTTTATTGTCTGCGTTCACGTGTCCTTGCTTCTCCTCATTGCCCTGGCAACCAGGCGCCAACGGAAGCTGCTGCCGTATAAGCTCACGCAGGAAMTCTGCTTCACTGAGTCACTGTGAGTGAGTGTGTGCACGGTGATGGAGGAGAAGCTGCGGCGTGAGGTCGTTACAGGGAAGGAGATGATGTGTGTGCTCACATGTGCTAAAGGCTGAGGATTTGGTTTGCCTGGATATCATCCCTCTGATTCTGGACTGAAGGTTGTTGYAATSTCAGCTAATTAAGTAAAAATCAAGTGCGAAATGAAAGGCCAAGCCATCTTTGAAGTAATGCATATCACCCGCTGCCGTTCCTATGTTTTAGAATCTGCACAATATGTTATCATTGACTGTAAGRTTTTAGCCTAAAACCTGTATAACTGGCTAAAGTAAAGCTAATATTGTTTGTTTGTGGCAACCATCTTTAAATAAGTATAAAGTACTACAACGTGATACTTGAGTAAAAGTACAAGTATTTAATCAAAAAATTACTTTGGTAAAAGTTAAAGTCCCCTTTAGGAATATTACTTAAGTAAAAGTCTTAAAGTATCTGATATTTTTTGTAGTTAAGTATTAAAAGTAAAAGTATTGATTTAAAATGAGCAGTTAGATTTTCTGTAAGGACATTTATTAGGTGGTGACCTCCCTCCAAAAAAATTCAGAAATGACTATAATGTATTAAAATAAATAACTGATGTTAAATTTAGGATGCACTAGTCCAGCTGTTTCAGTTTATATACATATATCAAGGCTGCACAAAGCTTTTCTCCAAAATGAAAATGTATCTGAGGGCTGCGGCCAAATGTAATATAATTCATGAAATACAAATACTTCTTAAGTACAGTCCTTTTATTTGAATGATTCTGTCCTGCTGGAGTGTGACATGATTTGTTTGTGTACAAACTAATACGGTACAATTTATATGGATAGTATTTATTTCTTACAATAACAAGCTGGAATGAAAACAAGCAAAAATGAAATAAAATGACATTCTATTTCTTGCGTTTTTTTAATGTAAGGAGTAGAAAGTACAGATAATTGTGTGAAAATGTAAAAAGTAGAAGTAAAAAGTAGGCTGAAAATAAAGTACAGATACCCAAAAATTCTACCTAAGTACAGTAACAAAGTATTTGTACTTAGTTACTTTACAACTCCACTCCAAACAATAATCAGTTGTAGATGTTCTATTGATTAGTTTCTGAAAGATCCAATAAATGTATTCAGTAATTCTAGAGATATTTTGCTGACACGCACTCAAAAAGCATTATCACATCTTCACCAGCAGACAAAAAAAAAAAAACAAAAGACAAAAACAATACAATTTATTTGGTATAAAACAACAACAACTAAATTCCTGTAAACCCATAACATAAAGCCATGACTTTGAAATAATTGCTTTTTTGTAGTTTTAGGTTTCAAGTATGACGTCTTTATTGATTTTTTAAAAATCAATAAAGACGCTCCTTTGTTGTTTTTTACAAAAACAACAAAGGAGCGTCTAATTATAGTTGCTTTGACCACATATTTGAATTTAATTGTCCATATGTGAAACAGAATCTCTTTCTTTATTGTTTGTTCCAATTATAGGCTGCTTGATGGAAGTTATGCATGTTAATTAGACATTTAACGCAGGCATTCAGCAGGATGCCAACCATAAACATCCGTATATAAGACAGCCCGGCGTCGCTAATGCAGTGTTTACTTTCATTCGGTTTAGAGTTGGGGCATCTCTTTGTGTTGGATGTCATGGCGGTATATGCTGTGGTTACAGATAATTACGGTTGTGACACATCAAAAATTTCTTTAGTCTATAAATGGAAAGCAGTTAGAGTGTGTAAAAGAAGTACCCTGGAGTCTGGGCAATATGCTCCCCTCTAATAAAACCACTGGATAAAAGTTAAACTCTATCTTCATCCAGATATTTTATGTGAAAATTAATATTTCTATTATTGATAATTGCACAACAGACTACTGTGTTCTGCCTGCTGCTAGGTTTTTAACTTCTAACATTGGGCCTCATGCAAGAACGTTCGTATTCTTATCCTAAATTTCTCTTACTTTTCTTCGTACGAAGGGTTCGTACGAACATGTCACGTCAGATTCAACAAACACTTCTATCTTCAGGAAAAGTGTGTAAATGAATTCCGCCTGTTCGTATCAGCTGCTCGTGCAYGCTAGAGGRGATTAGCATRATTACCACCCCAAAAACACCATATAAGGCTATGTTTCCCACCTCAGATACAAGTGTCCATTCATGAAAATGACAGCGAAAATTAAAAAGAAAAACTCTACGAGTTCAGAGATTGAAGTCCGTCTGTCAGAGATCCAGAAAGGAAAATCTGTCATTTTTAGCAACTCAGCTGTGGAATAAAAAGAGCTGCTAAAAATACGGGCAGCCCCCGTAAGCCCACCCCCCCGCGCGGTCGCAGGT